TACGTGTGTATATACATATTATGTATGTGTATGTGCCTAGATAGTCTCAGGAAATATAAACACAAAACTATTGTTGCCTTCAGGGAGAGGAAAGAAGTCTTACTTCCTACTTGACATCTTCTGAGCAATTCAAATTCTTTTTCCACCATAATCACGCATTACTCATATAATTAAAAATAGTAATAAAACCAGAGAAAAGGGCAGCCATAATATACCAGATCAGATCAATTCCTGATCTCGAAATAAATCGTTTCTGGCTCTTGGGCCTGAAGAAAGAGATTTGGAAGCAAATGGGAGAGGGAGGAGACGGAGTTATATTCCAGGACTCAGATCTGTCCCCAAGGCACCCGCGGCAATTCTCCCCACCACAGGGTGAGCAAACCCAGTGCAGCCTTCCTAAGACTTCAGGCCTTGGCCACAGAGTCTTACCGTCAGTACCGACCATCTCAGCAATGGGGCCCTGGGCGCTGCTGGGCCCATCAGCCTCCAAGGAGTCTGGGTCCCCCAATGCAGCCTGGGAGCGGGCGTCCTCCTCTCGGACCCGGGCAGGCGTCCACCGGGGAACGTGAGAGATGCCTTGGGAGATGAGCTCATTCAGGTAATGCTCGATCACCTCCTTCCCCTGGAAGACAGAGAGAGCCAAGACACATCGGTACCTGGGGCAGGACCGCAAGGGGTAACCGCGTCAACTTGGAAATCACCCAACCTGGCTCCGGTTCCAGCCCCGATGCATGGCTATTAAGCAGTTGAAATGTGGCAGGGCCCAGTGGAGATGTCCTGTGAGTGTTAAATACGCAATAGATTTCCAAGATTTGGTACCAAAGAATGTAAAATAACTCCCGATTAAGTTTTATATTGATAACACGTTGGATGAAATATATTATTAAAGTGGATTTCACCTGTTTCATTACACCAAAAGGCCTTATCTCAATGATGGGTCAGATCTTTAAACCAAGCAGTGACAATTTTAACCAGGAAAAATCACTGCCCAATGTCCCTCCTCTGTCCACAGAGTTCACTACACAAGCCTGGGAGCATCAAGACAGTTATTACTGTGCCCCACTATCGGCTTGCTTTCCATCCATCATCTCCTAGAATACCCATTCTACAGATGAGGACAGTTAAGGATGTTGCCTGATGTCACACGGGTTATCAGGTGGCAGGGCGGGCTTTGAACCAGGACTGGCAGCCCCCAAGGCCTGTGCACCTTCTTCCTCCTTGTGACTGACGAAGCCCCTCTCTTACCTTCTTGACATTGGCTGTGTACTGCTTCATGGCAATCTTCTCCAAGGCACTTTCGAAGCCAAAGAAGGACCGGATGTCAAGTGAGGCAGATTGCTCAAAGCAAGTCCAGTCTTCATTCTCGGGGTGGACCTGAAAGCCAGGCAGGGATGACAACACAGTCTCAGGGTAGAGGATGCCATGCCCTCCCCCGGGCTTCTCTTGGTGACCTGGGCACAGCCAGAGCATGCAGTGGACAGCATGTCACAGCTGGCAACACCCTAGGGTTCCGGCAATTCCAACAGGCCCCACCCAGAGCACAATGCAAGGTATAAAGTGTTAGCAAACAAAGAGCCTCCTCAGGAGGGGCCAGAAGAAAGTGGGCCTCATATTTGTGTTCCTGTCCCTTAAAAATTATATGCACATGATGATATATAAATAGGTAATATATTTAATATATCATTATATATAAATTACACATGAATATTATACATTTGAGATATATTAAAATATGTATGTTATGTGTTTATATATAATAATATATTATAAATAAATATTTATATGCATATAAGAGAAACTTCGTTGACACAGCTACCATGCAGATCCAAGCTTAGTGCCTCTCAAACTTCCATGGGCAGAGCATTAGCAGGGAGTCTATTAAATATGCAGGTGCCAGGTGGAATAGGTGTCCAGGGCTGGGGCCTGAGAATCTACATTTCACAAGCAGCCTCAGTGATACAGATTCAGCTGTTTGCAGAACTTGCTCTGAGAAACACTACATTAAAAGGGATTTATAAAAACTCTCCCTACACCTCCCTAAAAGTAAACATCTGAACATCCTAGGCCCAGTTTCCAGGAGGCCCTGAGAAGAGCTGGAGGTGTGCAAAGGAAAAGTAATCAGCATTTACTGGACACATGCTGTATACGAGGCACCACTGTACAGATGAACAAGGCAAGGTCTCCCCCATTGGGAGGCTGGGCAAAGACACATCAAAAACACCTGTAATATACCATAGTAGCCACATTGCATTTATCATCATGAAAAATACCATTTGGAGTCTAGCATAGCTACATTATCTCATTTGCTCCTCCAGCACCCGAGGCAGGTTCTGTTGACATTCCCAGATATGAAAGGGTAGCCCAGGGAGGGGAAGCAACTTGTCCAACATCACTCGGCAAGAAAGTGGCAGAGCTGAATTCCAAATGACTTCAGACTCCTCACTCCAGCCCTGAGGCTAGCAGGACCCCAACCCCTGCAACGCCCACTCTCAACTTCATTCATCTACCTTGGGGTCTTCAAACCTCCTGTTTCTTCCCCCAGAACTCTGTTTCCAGCCCTCTCATCCATCCTTCAGCACTCAGCTTTAATGACACCTCCTCAGAGAGGCCCCAAGGGGACACTTCCATTTTCTGTAAGTCTGTCTGCTGGGCTCCTTCTTAGCACTCATGACAAAATTTTAAGTCTATACCGATTTGTTCTTTTTCTCATCTGTGCCTTTCACTGGAATGGGAGATCCATGAAGACAATGGTCAGGTGGATTGGTCCACTGCTGGGTGCCCAGTACTTGTCAGGGAGCCTGGCACATAGCAGGTGCTCAATCAGTGAGTACTGGAGAAGAATTGTTCTTAATTATATTAAAAGGCAACACATATACAGGGCTTAGTGTGTGCCAGGTAGTGGTCCAAGAGGTTTGGTTATTTTACTTTTTTAAATCCTCACCATAACCTGTGTGGCAAGTAGGATCATTAACCCCATTTTACAGATAGCAAAACTGAGTCAAAGTTTTGTGAAGGCAAGAAAGGAGAGAAGGGAAGGAGGCAAGTTGCCAGGTTTAGCCAGGATGCCCAAATGCATTTGAACTGAACATAAAACAACAACAACAAAGCATTTTAGTAAGTATGTCTCAAGCACTACTTGAGACTACTTAAAAAAAGAAAAGGTATCAGTTGGGTATCTGAACTGCAGATGTAAGGAGCTTCCTGCTTCTCATCCGACAGGGCTCTGGGAGGGAAGGAGTTAGCTGCGACG